AGCGAAATTGTCATGCTGAAATGATTTTTCCTAATTGAATCTACAACTTCTTATTTTGAATGTTCAATTTTCTGTTCAACTTCAATAAGCACTTTGCAGTACCTATGTGAAGTGATCTCAGAACAATGGGTTGTAACTGAGAACTTCATGGATAATCCTACCATCCTTCTTAACATGAGGAGAGAAAGTAATTTCACTTTATTTCACAAAATGAATGGGTAGTGATGTTTTATCAGGTAAAGAGGAAGAAGGAAATGTTTGCTGGTGGCATGAATTTTACTACATTAAACTTGCTATGTGTAAAAACTTGAGTGTGTGTTGTGGGCTTTAGATAGCATACTGGAAAGGAAAGAAGGTTTTAACAGGTATATTAAGTATATTAAATAATTTTATTTGTATGCACCAGTGCCTATAAAATACAAGACACCCCATAGTTTACCAAGATAGGGAGGTTGAAATATATATAACACAGCCAATAGCAGAAACTTATGAAGATGATCAAGATACAAGACAAATAGGTTTGACCGTATGTGAATAGGTATGATTTTGCTGGTTTAGTAGATAAGTGATCAGTTTTGACAGCCAGCTTCAAAGAGTTCATCATGTTCATAGTCAGCATTGTGGTAGGAGCTGTTGGTCATGAACCTCACTGAAGAAGCATTTGGTTACAGTTATCTCACTTGATATTCTGCATGTGACTTGTTACCGTGTTTGTACAAAATAAACCAATATGTGTAGAAAATTTAGTAATTTCATTTTTTGTAGAAATTTTTGTTGAATTTTCATTGCCATAATAATCATTATTGCACTTAAAATTGCACACATTTTCAGTTAGTGTGAGTTGTGATTCATGCATTTGAGGTGCCATTTCTTTTCATAAAGAGTTTCTTCCCTCCCCTCACTTTTCATTGTGGTCCCAGCCTTGTTTTTATACCACCTGAAGTAGTGTCAATTAAAGTATGTGCAGTCAGTATAGAATCTTTCTCATATTTAAATGAAAAGTAATGGAATTTGCAGAAGATAGGCTGAACACAGAACTGTAAAGTTGGTTATCATGTAAATGTTTGATAGAGATATGAGAGACCTCTCTCATGGAAATAAAGATGAGCTTGGAGCTCAAAAGGCGAAAATACATGTATGTGATAAACTGAAAAAGGCTGATTGAATTAATGCACAAAATAATGGATAGAATGTTTCTCATGACAGGTGGTAGTTGCAAGCATATGAAATCAGCTCCTATGATGAAATTCCTTTGGAGTTCAGAGAAAGCTGGGAAGATACAAATCAGGCCTGTGTCTGCGCCCAAGCCATAGACTCCCCTCAAGTTTTTCTGTCATAATTTAAAATTAAGGTGGAATATACCAACATTTTCATGTGTGTTGGTATAACATTTACCCTCAGTGAGAGGGGATGTGTAATTAAGTGTTTCTAATAGAACAAGTTCTTCATTCCATATTTATAGTTCCCTGTCAATATGCAATTTCTGTAATTTTATATGCCTTAATTGTAATTCATATATTTTGCAACATATTTGATTGCGTGCCGGTCACGGTAGCCGAGCGGTCTAAGGCATGTACTGTCTTTGCTCGCTCGGAAGCCGGCATTGTGGGTTCAAATCCCACTCAGGTCATGGATGTTTGTGTGCGTTTTTCTGTGTTTGTCTACAGGTAGAGGCCTTGCGATGATCGGATCACTCGCCCAAGGAGTCCTACCGTATGTGTAAGATCTAGTAAACAGAAGTGAAACGGAGAGTTTCATGGAGGTAGGCCTAGGCCCAAATTTGGGCTGTAGCGCCACAGAAAAAAAAAATTTGATTGTGTAAAGACACTGTTGTCAAATGACAATTTGTTGTATGTACATAAGATATTGTGAAATGGTTCCTCCTGCATGTAAGTTGCATGTTTTCAGAAGAAATTTGCCTTGATTTTTTTTGGGCAGGTGGGGGATATTCCTTTATGATTTCATGGAAATAATATGGATCCACTTTCCATACTCACAATCTAGTTGTAACATCAAGCTTAAGAAACTCCTCTAAATAAGCATCTTTCATGAAAATGATGACAGCTGACAGCAGAGAGATCCACGCGCAAGCAGAATTAGTGCTACTTATAAGCAATGATTATTCACTAATATCATGAAGCACCATTAGGATTTTCCTGTATATTAACTTATGTCAGCCCTCTAAATTCTTCCAACATTGTTTATGGATCATTGCATGATCAAGTGAACAGAGGGTCTGCATACATTGAGTTAGGCGGACTGAAAAAGGGCATAGGTCACATATTGTTGGAATTTTGTGAACCAGTGCAGGCTGACCTACACGAAGGTTACACCGCTTATTTCAGACAAACTTTGGAGTAAGAAATATAACTTTTATGTTCATAAATTTGATGTACTCATATATTGCAATACAATTCTGGCATCAAGTATCCCCAGTTAGGTATGCTGACTTTGAAGGGACAGCAAGCATTAGTAGACTGGACACTGAATTCTTTTCTGGTCATGATAAATTTCTGCATCTGGCTTTGGTGTGTCTGTGGTGCCACATTTGATAGGGAAATCTCCCACAGCTCTCTTCATACTAGCTGGCTTCTAGAGAGAGACAAGTACAGCAGTAGATACTGATACAGGACATCAACCTAAAGCCAGAATAATTCAGTGAACACAGGTCCTGAAATGATTTTACAAAGGGTTAGTATGCATAAATTGTCAACCCCCCCTGCATATTTCATATTTTAAGCCTACTGTAATAATTTTAATACAATTCAGTACAGGGGGTTTGCTCTGAAAAACACCATGTAAATTTTATTTTAGTTTATATTTCTCAACTATACACAAATATCAAATTGAATTTTATCCCATTTTTCAAGCAAAGTTTATATTTTGTGTCATGTGCCTTTTTATACACAATGAACTGTTTCTGAGAAAATTTGGCATATCTCATTAAGACCTACAGCTTTCTTAAAAATATTTTTTATTTCATTTGTATATAACACAGTGCAAGCAAAATTATTTGTCTCAAAATAGTCTTGCCATTTATTAGCCTTGTCACAATAAATTTGGATCTGAAATAATTTAAACAAAATTGCAAAGAGGACATTTTGAAAATATGTATACCCCATAAAGCTGACGTGTTGACACCATTTATTGTATGTACTTATTTACAGACACTTCCTTATAATTACTTGAGCATTGCTGTATTTTGATACAATACAAGTGTATACACTTGGCACTGTTGAAGATCTGTTTGCTGTTACATGAGCACATTGTTTTCTAGTTTTGTTACCATGTGAAAGAAAAACGGAATGTTGTACAAAAATGACTGAGGTATTTTAATCTTTTTATTTGTAACTTCATATTCTACATTGCTTTTGTGAGTATTTAAATGTTTCCGATATGAAGGGCTGGGTATATACAAGAGGAAGGACAAAGTATTCAGATGTATACAATGAAAACTTTGAAGTCTGATATACAAAAACTAAACGTTGTTGACCTTGCAGTTTAATTGCTGGGGTTATTTATAGGAAAATGCATGTTTTCTACACTGCTGTGAAAGTGTTTTCATGGTGAGCTATTCAGTTTCTTCCACTGCCATGAAGACTTCAGCTTGATCATAGGTGAGAACTGACAACAGAAGGCCCCACGGTTCACAATGCATGACTGTGGTGTCATGATATACAGCTTACCTACTGTTTTCAAATTGAACATGTCAGCACTGAATATGAGATTTGGGGTTCTCATGGCCATGACTGTTAAGATTTTTATCTTGTGGGATGTGACATCATGTAATCTAGTAAAATTTACCAGTATTTCAGAGGAAACTGTTACAAATTCTTGTACCCTGAAGCTGAAGTAGCACATTCCTCTGAATCATCGGTAATCTCCCAGACTTCACAGTGTCACATCCCAGAAGATAGTAATCATCCATATTGAATATTCATAATGTACAACTCTGAAAATTCAGAGCATAAAAGTTACTTGGGCCTGTTGTTTTCAAGTTGGATGTCTGTGTGCTCAACATTTGGAGTGTACAAGTGTGAAACCATACCTTATAATTTTGCCTACTAGCAACTTCCACAGTTACCCAAGACAGTTTTCTTCCATAGCAATGTGAAAATTGCTTATAAAATGTGTACTAGGTTGTCTATTGAGACTGAATGCATGAAAGCTTCGATTTGTAGTTTAATGGTCAGGGATACATCAGATCTCATTCAGAATTAAGTTATATAGTATAATTGTGAGAGGCAGTCCCATATTTCTTTGACATGAACTTCATGCAGCCTACAACTTTATATTAAGAGTTTATATACAGTTCAAATAAAAAAAAAAATGACCATTTTCAAGGGGAGGCTAAAGTAAGCTTGGGATCATACTTTTAAGTAACTTTCATTTTTAATGTGAATGAAAATTAAAATGATTTGTTAACTAAAAAACTTCATGATGCAGAGTCTTTTGAAAAGCTGATAATTGTACAGCTCGTCAAAAGAAGCCCTATTTTTATGTAACCTTAAGATTCACTACTTTATTCACAAAATCCTACAATCAAACTATTCTGAGGCAGTTTATTATTGTTACAGCATGGTGCAGCCTGTATGGTTACATGGCCCAAATAGATCAAGTCCTGGATCATAAAAACATGAACTGAAATCATTAAAGCATCATTTAAACAAGATTTGAAAATATGTGATAGTGGTATATTAATATAATTATTGATTTTTTGGACATTATCTATTGCCCTGTGTTTTTATTTAAAAGCAAAGTTTTGGAGACTGGGGTACTCTGTCTCTGAAACCTTGTTCAAACTTTTTTTTTTGTAACTATGAATTATAATTTCTATTTAATATGTGATAGTGGTATATTAATATAATTATTGATTTTTTGGACATTATCTATTGCCCTGTGTTTTTATTTAAAAGCAAAGTTTTGGAGACTGGGGTACTCTGTCTCTGAAACCTTGTTCAAACTTTTTTTTTTGTAACTATGAATTATAATTTCTATTTAATATGTGATAGTGGTATATTAATATAATTATTGATTTTTTGGACATTATCTATTGCCCTGTGTTTTTATTTAAAAGCAAAGTTTTGGAGACTGGGGTACTCTGTCTCTGAAACCTTGTTCAAACTTTTTTTTTTGTAACTATGAATTATACTTTCTATTTAATATGTGATAGTGGTATATTAATATAATTATTGATTTTTTGGACATTATCTATTGCCCTGTGTTTTTATTTAAAAGCAAAGTTTTGGAGACTGGGGTACTCTGTCTCTGAAACCTTGTTCAAACTTTTTTTTTTGTAACTATGAATTATACTTTCTATTTAATATGTGATAGTGGTATATTAATATAATTATTGATTTTTTGGACATTATCTATTGCCCTGTGTTTTTATTTAAAAGCAAAGTTTTGGAGACTGGGGTACTCTGTCTCTGAAACCTTGTTCAAACTTTTTTTTTTGTAACTATGAATTATACTTTCTATTTAAGTTTCCAAACATTTTATAGTGGGTACATCTCATGCCATGTTTTTCTGAACTGTCTTTGCCAGTAGGAAATACATTCATCCAGTTAAGCATTCCTGCAGTATGTATGTGGGAAGCATATATCCTACTTTATTAAAATTCTGAGTCTACTTCAGAAGAAATAATTTGGCCTGTAAAGGTTAACTTAAGTAACCTGGAATTTCAGCCATAGGGTACATTTATGGGTTTCATGTGGTTTGTAGAATAAACAGTGATCGACTTCCTAAACATTATTAACTGATAATGTTTTAACAGATAAATGGTATTCTTGAGCTAGAAACGAAATTGTTAAATAATATTTAAACGGACTATTCCCTTACAAGAGTTAAGTCTAGCGAGAAAGGTGAAACTGCCATTTGTAGCATTGGTATATATGTTACATAATGGCAACAAACTGGTCAGGCAGATGCCCCTCTACCTTCCTGATTGACTCAGCCAGTATTTCACAAGTCTGTGTAAGCTGTCGGTTTCTTGACAATGGAAGAACTGAATTGGCTCGGCAACCCTCTCATCCAGCATTCTAACTGAAGCACATTCAATGTGACTTCCATGTCTGTATTCCCTTATCACAGCTGAGAATTAAATCCCTGTTTGGAATTCAAGTTGGACCACAACAACCATCCAGCTTGGAGCTCCTGTCTTGTTCAATGAAGTGTGTTAACTCATAAAGATGTTTCCTTGGAAGCTAACAAATAGAAGGGAGGATGAAGCAGGTGTGGCTGGGGCCCGTGGTGTCATGGCAGGGTTTATGAAGCCCTTCTACTCAATGTAGATGTCCTCAATAGGATATGCTGCCTCAATGAATTTCGTGTAAAATCGTTTGAAAGCCCTCCTGGAACAGAAACACAAAATGATATAGGCCTCATCAACTACACGTGGAATTTTGTGTTTGTATGTGGATGGTAGTATTCCATAAAGATTGACGCAGGCATACAAAATCTTGTTAAGAGTTGAGGTTTTCAAGGCCGTGACTATGAAGAATGCCGTCATCTGGGATCTGGTGCCGTGTAGATCTTGTATGAGCCGATGTTCCTCCCAGACGTCGGCTCTTACAAGATCTACATGGTGCTACATCCCAGAAGACGGTGTTCTTCATACAAAATCTTATTCCGCGGTACAAGTGCCTCAATTTCGGCGGTGACTGTGCTGAGGAGTACCTTAAGTATGAATGTATTTTTTGTATATAATACATTTTCTCATGCTTGTTTTGTTAACATCTCATCGGAGGTTACTTTCCGAATATCCCGCGTATAATGGTAATGATGATATAACTGAAAGCAAAGCATTCAGCCTAGTACAGGATTCGAAAATATGACTGCCTATGCACAAGTTCAACTTGCTCATGCATAACTTGAATTGCACTTTAAACTTGCGGAATGAAATTCCGTTACCTAAACATAATAACAATACAAGATTTGAAGGACTGGAAATTTGTGTAACGGAACGTGAGCTTTATGCTTTCTGTCAAAATACTTTGTTAAGTTTGGAATTTGTTTTGCTCTTTGTTGTAGGGATAGTCAAGTATAACCAGTTCTAAGTAGTAGACAACAACCAATCAAAATGTTGCGAAGGCCATATAAGCAGAGAAATCTCAATGTAAAGTCTTCAAATTGTAGCACTGACATTTCAGAAGAATTTTCTACCTCATAATTCAAGATCAAATTATTGGAGAGGTCTAAGACATGACTTGTGATTAGTCAGAACGGTGTAAACATAAGTATAGTGCACCCATTCAAGCTCAGAGCGCAAGTAACATTACAGTATGCATGTAATGTCTTCAGAATCTTGCAAAGAATAGTCTTACCCGACAGCTTCTGCGACGGGCCTCGTCGACTCCGCTCCCATGAAGACATGACACGCAAATCTCTGGAGTTGCGGGTGCTTAGTGATGAAGCCTAGGTAACGATGGTCTCTGGGATGAAACGCGCAGAATGATACGTTCTTCAGTGAGTAGAAGTAGTCATGGCATGGTACATCCTTGGGCTGGTAACAACACAATAACATAAATTTTCAAATATTTAGTTCTACATTTTCATTTTATGAAAAAAGCTATTGTCAAATGGCTGCATTTAAAGGTGGTTTCTTAGAAAGCAAAAACAAGAGTTCTAGTTGACTGGTATAGCACTAACGATTAGACTTATATTTGGAAGGTACCCAGCTTGGAACATCTTCAGAGTTGTCCAGAATGAGGTTTCCTCAGTATTTCCTGGCATATGCGAGGATAGCAGACATATTTTGAAATACTGTAGACCACGAATGTCTCTTTTCTAATCCTCGTACTGAACATTAAAATTCTGATCCTCATTCCAGTCTATGCTACTTAACCTCTGTAGTCGAAATCAACTAAGAGAAAAAGGAACTTACTGAAGGCTTCCTTCGGTCAACCATTCTGAGACCTTGATCAGACACCTCCAGGATGCACGAGTGGGGCTTGTGTTTTGGAACTCCCGAGGTCCCTACTATCTTCCTGACGGCCTGGCACAGAACGGCGTTCCCCTTGTGGCACCGCGTCTCCACGGAACCCAGATACCCCAGCAAATATCTCTCCCGCTTTACCTTCGGTGCACTGGGGTCGAAATCGCTGTAATCCATATCGACAGCATACGCTGATGGGAAGATGCCCTGACGCCCCGATCGCAGGTTCACCCCTGTGGAGAATCAGTGTAACTTCACTCGACTGTTATGTTTACTCATATAATGCGATTTGTTACTCGTGACTAATGGATTCCGTTCGAAGGGAGAGTGGCAAGGTTGGTGTGATTGTATTACTCGTTTGTAGAACTCAGTCAATCATGGAGCTGAGCCCTTCTTGAGAAGCCGCCAATTGTGCAGCTACGCAAGAACTTCCCAGCATTTTAAGGAACCCGAAGGTTCATTACCGTGTTCACAAGAGCCATCCACTGGTCCCTATGCTGAGCCAGATCAATCCAATCTATGCCATCCCATCATATCTCACCAAGATCCATTTTATTATTGTAAGATTTGAGGCTTTCACGGCGGTGACTATGAAGAAAGCAGTCTTCTGGGATTTGGCACCGTGTATATGTGGTATTAACCGACGTTTCGGAGGAACGTATCGCCCCCCTCTTCAGGGTAGAAGAAAAAGTATAAGAAATCTGCAAGCGACAACACCGTGAGAAACGGTAAAGCAGTCTGCTTTACGTTCCTCCGAAACGTCGGTTAACACCACATATACACGGTGCCAAATCCCAGAAGACTGCTTTCTTCATTTTATTATTGTCCATCCACATACGACTTGGTCTTCCCAGTGGTCTTTTTTCTTCTGATTTTTCAGGATAGCAGATGGATTTCTGAAAGGAAAAACTGTACCTTCGCACCAGAGGTCATCTGCTTCCTTCTGGACATAGATGGGATCGCCGATCTCCACTTCAATCTCGTCGTGATGTCGGGGCACGAACTTGTGGAGCCCTCTATGCGTCGCCTCCAGCAGCTCTAGCTGTGTGAAGGGCACTTCGCCACTGCTCGACGGCGACGCGGATTCCGGAGACAGGGACCCTGCGCCACAAATTCTTGTATATTTACCGACCCCCTACCATCATAATCGTTAGAAGAATCTGTATGGAACCAATTAATTAATGACAACCTATCGTCGCGGACGAGTTGTTGACATTCCTGCTCTGCATTCGGCTAAGTCCCGCATTTGATTCTCAGCTGGAACTTCATGTTTGTCCTCAGTTTCTCCAGGCAAATATTGGAATATTTCCGAAAGGCCACTACCACTTGAACCACATTGTTTTGTTCCTACAGAGCTATCATCTGAGAGCTTCCCGCAGATCGTGAAGCCGCTCAGGCGGAAAGGACAATCACGGCACGCAGAGCCAAAGATGGAGTAGCATGTAGACATCGTGCGAATGTAATATTTTCACAAGGGGAATCCTTGCGTACTAACTTGAGCATTTCCAGTGTGTGATGTGATCTGGGTTGGTTTCGTGTTTAATTTATTGGGCTGTGTGCTTGTTGATTCCGGTGGCAGCCCGAGTCTCAGCAGCTCGGTTAGGTAGGATGAGCGCTGGACTCTTCCGCTTGGGTGGCTCCGCGATTTGCGGCACGCTCTCAGATGAGCGCATCGTATAACCTATGAAGTTGGAATAGCATCAGTAAATAAAACCAAGAATCAATATAGTAAATTGAAAGATGAATTTGAGACTACGGGGATGATATCCGTAGAAATAGCTAAAGGGTACACAAGCGCAAATTAAATAAGAAATAAACAGTTATACACAAACAAAAAAAAAACTCCGTGGTTTTAGGCCGCAAGCGAACTATACCGACCGAGCGACCACCGCTTGTCGGGGAAGTTAGTGCCAACTTTAGGGGATAGAGGGTGTCGCGTGGTCAGTGCAACGAATCCCCACGGCCGTTAATTTCTGTTTTCTAGACCGGAGCCGCTATTTCCTTGAAGTTGCTCCTCAATTATCCTCACGTGGCTGAGTGGACCCAGTTCCAGAAACTACTTCTCAGAAAATCTGGTAGTGCCGGGAATCGAACCCGGACCTCTGGATCTGTAGCCAGAAACACTGACCACTAGACCACAGAGGCGGTCAAACTGTTATACACACATGCGATAAATGAAAAAAAGAATGAATGAGAGAAGACGAGTATAATGGGAGAAGGAAGATTGCCAGAAGTCTGAATTACCAAGAGTGATTCGTGACAACCGAAGAAAAGGCAGGAGACGGCCTAGTGCTTGAGAGAAGGTCATGATCAGTCAATTAATGATCCATTTTAATTCCCAATCGCATATTTCTCACTTCGCGAACCAAACTCCTCCACAGACTCACATTTATCTATACGTAGAAGTTCTATAGGATTTATGAAGGCTTCATGTTAGACATACTGAAACGGAATTATTACGGTATGCTTCATAGGAGCTTCTTCAATTATATGACCTTTATTTGGGGTAGCCCAGAATACACTCAATCAATAGGTGTGTTTCAGTCATTTGTTTTACAAATGCGATCTTCACTGAACGCATCTGATTGCTGTCGAAATGCGTCTATTACAATCACAAAACCAATCGCACTAAAGACTGGAGTGTCACATTGCATAGCGTCAGAAATTGTTAAATGTCTCTCACGTCCAAATGAAATTCTCAAACAGAAGTTATAGGCCTTAATGAGACCTGTGTTATGTCATAGACTAAATTCATTTTGTCTGTCTAAAAAAAAAAAAAAAAAAAAAAAAAAAANAAAAAAAAACTTCGACTTGAGTTTCATGTGAAGTAGTTGCTTTATCCCATACGAACCTGCGTTAGGTTTGTTCTTAAGGGCCGCGCCATAGCTCAAGCGCTTAGTCGCTGGCTTCCCACCGCGGCGGCCAGGGTTCGATCCCGGGTCTGGTGAAGTGGGATTTCTGGTGAACAAAATGGCGCTGGGGCCGGTTTTGTCCGAGTACTTCGGTTTCCCCTGCCAATCTTCATTCCACTAAATTCTCCATCACCATAATCACCCGGGGCCGTCTACAATAGGTCATTCAGTGGCCGCCGTGCCAAGTGGACCCAGTTGGACTCCACCCCCCACTAAGCGAATTCATTTTTTTTTAGATTTGTTCGTCAATTCTTGTTGCAGACTCACATTATCACATTTCCTTGAAATGTTTTCAGTAATTTCATGGATGATACGTGGATATACAGAGGAACATGATATCTCCTACACGCACTGACTTTGTGTGCGAACGACATATCAAATTGTATGGACTTTTGTGAATTAATCTATTGTTCAGCTATCATAACAACTTGAAGAAATGTCCCATGATCCTGTCAAGTTTCAGTACAAGCTCGTTCTGTAGCCTTCCCTATCAGCAGCTCAGACACATCCAGAAAGACGCAGTCCGGCGGGCTACGTACGGACACAAAGAAAAGGACTGGGTCATCGCCATTACCCCCTCCGCCCCGTGCTCTTGTTGAATATAGATCGATGTTATCACCCACGTCAGGGGAGACAGGGATTTCAAAACATGCAACCATATCTCATTGTACCTACCTAGTGATTACGTTAATATCTGTCCCTGCAGAAGTTTTTAAACTACGTGTACAAGAGGCTACTGACTGGCAGAGCGAATGATGACTTTTTCTTTACTGGCTCTACGGCCCCCTTGGGTCCTGGCCTCCGATTTTTCAGTTTCATGACTATTTTACAGACGGTAGGACTCCTTGGACGCGTGATCAGCTCGTCGCAAGGCTTCTACCTAAACACAGGGCAACACGAACACAGAATAAACTCATACACATACCAAACATCCATGCTTTATGTGGGATCCGAAACCACGATCCCGGCTTTCGAGCGAGCGAAGACAGTAGGTGTTTTAGACTGCTCGGCTACCGTGACCGACTATACTGAATGACTGCCAAGGTATTACTAATTAGTTAAATCAGTTTAGTAGAATCCTTCTTCAGAAGCTCATAGTCGCTCAGCTACTCCAGAATATTCTCATCTGTAATGGAACCCGAAAGTTCATTATCGTGTTCAAAAGAGCTAGCCACTGCTCTCTGTTTTGAGTTACCAAATCACTTATATTTCGGCTTAACTTTTGCTTTGTTGCGGTTTCTACAGCAGAAGCTATATAGCGTCGAGTGGGGTAGGCATGGATGTGTAAAGAGACGATTTTTACATATTTCTTTCGCACAAAGAGGCTGAGAAAAATAGAATAGACGGTAAGCCGACCGAGATTCAAAGCAGGATCCTCTAGAATACAAGTCTGTAGCATCAACACTAAACCACCGAGCCGGCTGTCATAGTGATAACGCCCTACATTTGAAGTGTGAGTGTGCATGGTTCGAATCACGACCGGGAACCCGGAAAATTTGACTGAGGTTTTTCATCTTCCTCAATTACTTCGGGGCAAATTACAGTACTGTTTCTCGAGTAGACACTATCCTTTCTTTCCAAATATGTTCCAGTTCATTAGTGATCGATGACCCTATTATCCGATTTCCCGTCTGTTCTATTCCCATTTCTCCCACTTGGAGCATAGAACATCCGTGAAACCCGTCGCTTTACTTCAAAACTCTTTCAATGGGGGATAAGTCCGACGCAAGACCGCTACCTACACAAACAGAATAAACGTATACAGACATCCATGCCTTGAGTGGGTTTCGAACCCACGATCCCAGCGTTCGAGCAAGCGAAGACAGTGACCTCACCATTCGACGCTATATAATTCGTCAAACTGATAGCATCGTAAAATAAACCACAAACCCGCTACACCATATTTCTGTACCACCTTATAAATTTAGTTCATCCTTCTAGCCGCATTATGGCCCTGGGGTCAGTTCAGCCTCTAATAGAAATGAGTACCGGGAATCTCCCTGGGGGCTAGAGGGCGGCCGGCGTGTAAGGCTGAAGGCCTCAACTCCATCTCTGAGTCGATTGTCTAGAAAATGTGGGAACCTCGACGTCTCTAAACACAATGGGCTTTCACGGCCTGTTAAAGGGATAGCTTTGACTTTTTGTAAGTGTATAAAATTATCACGGAAGGTATCCAAATTTCGAATGATTAAATAACCTTACAGCCTAACATATTTGAGTCTGAATTGGCCAACTTCAGGAGTAACCAGTGCTAAAGGAAACCCTATATAATTCGCATTAAATAGTTTTAAATAAATAAATTATTTAAACTAAATCGAATTGCAAATCCTTAAACTGCTAATATTATTTTTAAGTTCATCAGAAACCATTTGAAGTGCCAAACATCGATATTCACGAATGAAAACCCTCACACGGTGGGCGTTTGTGCTTGTTCTCACAGAGGTGGGCGGGCGGGGCGCCCGGATCACGGTTCAACTTCCACCGCTTCTCGCCCTTGTACAAAGTCTTTATGCCACCGAAATACTTGCGCACGCGATACAGAATTATTGTCAAACGTTTTCTGAGTCTCTATATAAGCATCAGTAGCACTCTTCCCCATCCTGACACAAAACTTGATTGCATAACTTTGCTTATTCTTCTCCATTTTTGTGGCGCTGTACCAAAACATACATCTACACGAACCCCAACAGAGCCACATGTATTCAAGCCAGCAAGTTCAAACTTTGATCGAAGGTAGAGGAAGGATGTAGCTATCATTTCGTAATGGTCTCGGCGCCGTAGTATTGCAATTTCTCGTACTACAAAATTAATCTCTTTACTTTGTTAACGCACCTCGTATATGTTGCCTTGTCAACGTAATGCCCAAGGCTGCGTTACGAGCCCAATAATCATGAAAATGTTTATTTGGCAGTATCGTGTGGCATCCTTCTAGTGTTCTGTGTAAGCTGAAATGTTGAAGTTATCAAATTATAATTTTACATTTTTACTGTAGTCCTATTCCTGGGAGGAGCAAAATTACGAACATGTTCATACGGCTCTGGGGCCCACCCGACCTCCTGTCTCTTCAGTAACATTAATTTTATGGCCGCGCCATAGCTCAAGCAGTTAGTCGCTGGCTTCCCACCGCGGCGGACCGGGTTCGATCCCGGGTCTGGTCAAGTCGGATTTGTGGTGGACAAAGTGGCGCTGGGGCAGGTTTTCGACGAGTACTTCGGTTTCCTCTGTCAATCTTCATTCCACCAATTGCTCCACAATCACCCTCACCTGTCATCCGGGGCTGGTACAATAGGCCAGAAGTGGCCGCAGTGCAAGGGACTTAGTCCCACCCCACTAGCAATAAAGAAAAGCATTAATTTTATAGGACCTCAACTTTCCAAATTCAAGAAGTACGTAATATCCCTGTTCGACTGCACTCTTAAAGCAACGCTCTGGGAGCTTGAAGGCGATGGAACTCACCCTGATGTCCAAGTTGGGGCGACATGGATTTTGGTCCGTCTGGTGAGTGAGCTGTGGAGTTGCCTGAATCCACGTCCGTGCTGTGGAAGCGCTCAGAGTCCGGGGAACTGGCTCCATCTGCGAACACATGAACTTCCATCAGCACTGTGCCTGCAGGAGCACGATGCCGTCTCCAGCGTCCTCAATAGGACAAGCCTGGCCGCTACAAAATGTCGACGCAACGCGTTTTCCTCGTATGCATATATTCTAATATTCGAGAAAAATAAGAGAATATGAAATTTGTATCAAAATGGCCTGCATATAAGTTAATATCTAATTGTTATATACCTGTGTTATGTATATGTATGTGCGAGTGAATGCGCGCGTACATACCCGCACATGAATATGCTCGTATAAAATACAGCGCGTCTTTTCTCTAAAATATGATCGTTGGTGCTTTTATAATCGGTTTCAGCCTCAAGGTTTAAACATAAAAATTACTGGAAAATGCGCAACTTTTGACGAGACGAAAGTATACATAAATTATTTGCCGATGTGCCAACCCGCGCATACTGATTTAAAAAGCACTGTACATACATGTGTACATTTTTCAATGGCTCTTCCAGCTCATTCAGGACCCTAACCGGCAGCCCTTTACCCCTAAGAATATTCCTGTTACTCATTTCAGTTAGAAGCTGAGTCGACCCCAGGACCATAGTGTTGCTGGAAGGATTAGGTCAATTGAAAAAATCCAATGACCTCATCGGGATTTGAACACGCGACCTTCCGGCTTGTAGCATAGTGCCTCAACCAACTACGCTACCGCGTGCCCCCTGTGACCGGCTACATACATACATGAAATATGAAATATATTTGTACATGTGTCTGTTCCTTGGGGCAGAACAGCATGTCTTCAAGAAATAAGTGAAATAACAAAGTACGTTTACAGTGATAGAGTTAAATGTTTAATTGTTCCTTAGCGTAATGAGTGGTGATTAGTTCTAACAATTGGCGTTTAGAATTCCGAAACTCTTCTGCTGTAACTCTCAGATCACTGTGTAACATGTTGCCGTTTGTCGTTCCCGATGCGGTATGTATGTTTATACACACTGTAAATACATCCTGAGCGAAGTAATGTCCCATACTATTACTAAGCCCGCCAAGTCCTGACTGCGCAGGAAATTTTGCCACATCCGCTCTTAAAGAATACCCCATAGGAGTTGTTTTGGTTAGCTTGTAGTGATAATAATGACCTTAAAAGGATCGGATTTATTACAAAATTTGAATTAAGTAATATGCAAATTCATATTCCACGCACCCATATAAATTGCGGACAGTAAAATTCATGCCTGATATTGCATTAATGAAAACTGACGATGAATATTTCCAAGCAGACCTATAGCTTATCTGTCAGCACCTCTCGGTCTACTCCCAAGTTTACGTCCCCACTCGGGAAGACGAAGGGCCACAATAAGGGAGGACTTACCTCTCAAGTAACTATGACACTTGAGTATGAAGAGGTGTCTGGTCTGGCCTCCAAGTGCGAATTGCAGAGATTCAGGCATAATATTGTCACCCTTGTCCATGAGTTCTCCCAACTCGTCGGCCAGCGACGGCTGCACCATGGCCATCACAGATGCTGGAACAGCGAGATAAAACTGACGTCCTCTGCGATTTGCGATGCATTCGTCTGTTCATATCGTAATGGTGATATGAAAGTAAACACTGAAATATAGGTCTGTATAGACTCTAGCCTTCTTATGTTTAAGTATATAATAATATGTTATTATGTATTATATATTATTTTATATGTCAAGTCTTTTATAAAAGTTATACTGAAATATGTAGATGATAGTCTTTTTACATATTGTTATGCGTAGAGAGGTACGCGTGACGAAAATAATGGGTTCTAGATCAAATGATTTGATTTATTAGCAATTCGGTTACAAGTTCCCTTCATTACAATTAATAGAGCGCTATCGCTGATTTACTCATGTTCCAGTTCACCGTTGCACACGCACTATGATTTTAAGTTTCCACTAGTCGTCTCCTGGCAATAGATCTCAAAACAGAAACTAGCACCTCAAATCACTATGAAGTCTTCTTGCCATTTCGTGTTCAATCGCCCTGGAACCTTCGAACTCGACTAAAAGCTCTGAACTCCTCAAGCTGGCGGCTGACTCGTAACTGCCTCGAACGAATTCCGTCACTCCCTTATATATAGCCGCGGAACGGGCATGGATCTACAGTAAACAGTGTCTAGCTAGCAAGTCCAGTGGCGCAAGCTGGACGGACATACAGAAAACACGTGGTCTCTATCCACTGCTTTGTGACGTCACCGCGGACACGGAAAACACGGCTTCCTCTATTGTTGTTTGTTAGACCGTGTTTACAGAGATATCTGGCAACGCGTTGATCAAATCCGTTACAATATGAGTACCCTTATTTAAAACACTTTCCAAAGTACACAGATACCCATATTTATGACATTATATGCCTGACACATAAGTCGTTTCTAATGGCATAAACGTACGCCAATTTTCGACGTCTGAGTGCCTGGTGTGAATTCTCATACCTATGTGACTATGGCAAGTAGAATTCAAGTAAGTTGCTGACTTTACAAGAAATGATTGAGTCTCTTCGTTTCGCCAAACATTAACATACGAGTACATTGAAATTGTTAGATTTAGTTCAATTACTGGAAGGCGCTAAGGACACCCGGGTGTTTTAGACTGAATCCATTTAGTATGCAGGACGTCATTGGGTCCACTGTACAGCCACGAACGATAGGTGATCAAGGAGTAGTGGGAGGAATGACAGTCGGCAAGGACACCGAATTCCTCGGAGGAAATCTGAGCCAGTGCTTCTACTTCCACTACAAATCCCACATCACTAGATCTGGGATCGAACCCGGGAAGCCGGCGACTAACCGCCTGAGCTATGGCGCGACCTTTATCTGACTTACATTTTTTATTCTTGGGTATCTCCGGTAGTTTGCGGCGTCGCCTCTCGCCGGGCCCGGGTCGGTGCTGATCTACCCAGTTTGAGAGATGCACCCCTTTTCCACCGGCATCCTGCTCCTCACTGTGTAACGGTAGACAGACTCCCGACCCTGGGGTGCCTCGTCCACTGCTAGGGTGTCGACTTCGTGTCTCGGTTGAAGCTGTGGCGGTGACCTCGTCCTCATCGTCCAGGTCCCCTGAAGCCCGGCGGTGCTCGGAGCCGGTGCTGTTGGTGGGGCTGCAGCAGACTAATTCCTCCTCTCCGTCACTCTTCGACGATGTAGAGGAGTCATCGTCTAGCACCACATCGTGCACCAGCCTGCAGTAACAATTGTGTGCTTAGGACAGCTTCACAAGAGCACTCCTGGCCCTCCCGCTAGGTCTTATATTCGCGTACTGTCTCTTGTTGCAAAGCGGCCACACTCCACGTGTGACACTGTATACAACCCTACATCTGAAGAAAGCAGTCTTCTGGGATTTGGCACCGTGTATATGTGGTGTATATGTTGCAGATTTCTTATATTTTTTCTTCTACCCTGAAGATGGAGGCGATACGTTCCTCCGAAACGTCGGTTAACACCACATATACACGGTGCCAAATCCCAGAAGACTGCTTTCTTCATAGTCACCGCCGTGAAAGCCTCAAATCTTACAACCCTACATCTGTTTGCTTCTATTCACTTAATACATAGCACGCCAAAGAGAGGACTTATATTTTATTATCAAAGCCACCAAATTTTTGTAAGTTTATGAGGATATTTTTGAGGTCACATACTGTAGGAAGAAGAAATAGAATGTGAGGGTATGGAGTGGATTCATCTGGCTCACAATAGGATCCAGTGGCAGGTACCTGTGAACACTATATTAAACCTTCGAATTTCATAAAAGGCAATTAATTTATGACCAGCTGAGCGACTGTTAGTGTTCTATGAATAATTCTACTCCATGAAGTTAGTTACTACAGCAGGGATTATAGCTTATCCTTGATGGGACAAATTTCCGCCCCGGTACTGCCGTCAGACGAGCTGGACGCCTGCCACTGCTTTCTGAAGGATGATTAATTTTCTGAGTCCTTTCTTCTTGGAGGCGACCTGGCAATCATAGCGATTCCCTTGCTACACAAAATGTTGTGTACATAGTGCTTACATACGATGACGCTGGAAGCTCTGTGTCTCCTTGTGTTATAGGCAACTTTTCATTGTTTGCGAGCAAGTGGGTTGCTGGTCACACGGGGCTTTACGCTTTCTAGAATAATCTCGTTCATTCGTGAGTTACGTAACGAAATTGTGTCAGCAATTAACAGTATCGAATGAGATGAGAGGGCTACTGAGTCTCGGGTCATTTAGAAACGCTGTTTCAACTTAACAAGTTACTAGCTTCATATGACATAAAAGAGTTTGTAATTGATTTGGGGGAACTGAAAAATACTATTTCAATTTCGGACATTATGCGTAAGAAATATGAGAAAACTATCACGGATGGTAAGAATATGAAGATTTATAAGTAGACAGCTGTAGCCTATTTGAAAGCGGTAGCCCAGAATTCGCCTGGAGAGAATGAGGCACACCACGAAAAGCCGAAGTCATGAGGCTGAACTTTGAGTGGATCTGTCACGAATAGCTAGGATGCAGCCTGACCGAACCTGCCTAGTACCGTACAGAGAAAGAGAACAAGAAAGTTGGAAGACAATGTAGAATGGAGAAAGAATAAATGAATAAATTAAAGAGGAAAATAAGAAAAACGAAAGAAAAAGGAAATGAAAAGATAGAAGACAGTAGGAAATAAAGAAAGAAAGAAGTAAGAGATAGAAGGAAGGAAATAATTTGGAGCAAAAGAGGAAAGAAGGAAAGAGAGAAAGAGACAGGGGCTGAAAAAGAAGGAAAGGAGGAAAGAAAAGAAGAAGGAGGTTGTGGCTGCCGGGTCACAGTGTTTCTCTGAGGCGTTAGCCTTAACGGCTCGTTATTCCCGTAACGCATCATCGCCAGAGACATTAATGGTACAAAGGCAACGGCCCAGCTTTCAGCAAAGTTAAAGGTCACAGCTGTGGGACGAGACAGGCAGGTTCATATCTTGTAAGAGTTATTCGCACAGAGAACCATAACATGGACAGATCATTACAAATGTCTTCCTGTCCGTCAACAAGTCTCATCGAGTTCTCCACAAAAGTCGATCAAAATGACTTGTCGGACAGGCGAGAGGGTCCATATGGAAATAGGTGGAACCACTTTCATTTTTTATTTACAGAACTAATTTACATGGCGCCAAAATGAAACTTTATTGTGTTACGTAAGATGTAGAAAATTTCTCCGAGCCGTTTTTCAATGGGATATACGAGTACATTAACTGGAACTTATTTACTTACTTACTTACTTACTTACTTACTTACTCGTGGAGCTGAGCCCTTCTGGAGGAGCCGCCAATTCTGCAGCTACTCAAGAATTTCCCAGCATTTTATGGAACCCCAAGGTTCATTATCGTGTTCACAACAGCCTTCTACTGGTCCCTATCCTGAGCCAGATCTATCCAATCCATCCCATCCCATCCTATCTCTCTAAGATCCATTCTAATATTGTCCACCCACCTACGCCTTGGTCTTCCCAGTAGTCTCTTTCCTTCTGGATTTCCCACCAATATCCTATACGAATTCCATGTCTCCCCCATTCGTACTACATCACCTGCCAACCTCATTCTCCTTCACTTGATCATTCTAATTATATTTGGACATTATGTTACGAAAGTGAACTCAAAGCCTCGGACCTGGACGGATTATTTGGATTTATTCATCTGTAATCTGTCAGACGACAGATCCACAGTCTCTTCCAAAACAGTTCCTCCACTTAATGCGATCTAGAGCTTTCTCCTTCAAATGAGAATATCCTCTACTGTCCCCAAGGTCATCCAGCATTTTCTTACGTCTTCTTCCTCGTCTTCTGGTCACTTCTATCCGCCCTTCTAGCTTTCTTTCAATAACTTCTTTAGAAGGCAGTTACTGCGTAAGATATGACCTATCCAATTAGCCTTCCGTTTTCTTATTTCGTGTAGGATATTCCTCTGCTCACTGACTCTAATTAACACTTCTTCATTTCTCACATAATTGGTCCAACTGATCTCCATCCTTCTCCAACACCACATTTCGTAGCTTTCCAAGTGTTTCTGATCTACTGCCCTAAGTGTCCAAGTTTCAGCCCCATACAAAGCAATGCTCCAAATGTAGCATTTCCCTAGTTTCTTCCTCAAAGTTAAGTCCAATTTGATGGTAAAAAGATTCTTCTTTTTGCTAAATGCAGCTTTTGCCATGACAATCCTAGATTTAATTTCACACATACACCTTGCATCATCTGTTAACAAGCTACCCAAATATTTAAAACATTTCACATTCTCCAGTTTTTTTGGTCTGTCTTTATTGTGACTGGCGTTGGTTGTCTCGAAATTTTCATTACTTTTCTTTTTTCCACATTCATTTTCATGCCATAGCACCTTCCAATTTCAATTAGTCTATCAATCATACCCTGTAGCACAGTTTCTTCCTTAGCCATTAACACAAGGTCATCTGCATATTTCACAGTTTGAATAATTTGCCCTCATAATTTGAAGTCTCCAAGCCCATCCAGAGCTTCCTTGGTAAGGCATTCGCTGTACAAGTTGAACAAAATTGGTGATAAACAGCATCCTTGTTGAACTCCTCTTCCAATCTGCACACTTCTTGTCTCCCCTCTGTCCAGTCGCACTCTAACTTTCTGATCCATGTACAATTTGCTGATCAATCTTCTTTCACCCCAATCGATACCTGTTTCCTTTAGGATCTGCATTAATTTGGTCCAGTTTACACGGTCAAATGCCTTCTGCCAATCTATGAAGCAAACACACAGTTCTTCATCTATCTCCAAAGTTCGTTCTGTCATAATTCTCATCATCCCAATTGCATCCCTGATTCCTTTTCCTCTTCTAAATCCAAACTGATCTTCTCCAAGTATATCCTCTATTTTCCTTTCAATTCTTCTTTTAAGTATCTTTGCTATTTTCTTTGCTGTATATGCAATAAGGCTTATTGTGCGATGGTCGCTGCATTTTGTAGCTTGTGTTTTTCTTTAAGACAATCATTGTCACTTCTGTAAAGTCCTTGGGCCACTCCCCAGTTTCATATATGGCTCTTTGGATAAACGACATTAAATGGATCACAAAGGAAAATATTTCTGACTCTGTACAGTGCGATTACATTTACAACAACATATTTTAACAATAAATCAATATCAAGACAGTGAACTATGAAAAGTAGTAAAGAATTCATTTGAGAAATACGTGTACTATTATTAGAGTCTAGAACAACAGTTCTCAACCCACTATCCCATAGACATGTATGTCGCCGGTACCTCTGTGAATAGAAATTTGCTGGAGAGAATAAATTGATATCTGATAATTGATCTTTTATTTGGGAATGCCTGGTTCGTATCACAGTTGGCATCTTCCTTTCCGAATGCAGTTTTTCGTGTGTTTCTCCAGTCATTTGAGCGAATGACGAAGTAATGCTTCCAAAGATACTGCTGCTACGTGCTTTCCAATCCTTTCTGCTTACTCTTCAGGATCTGCTTGCATATCATTCAATACTATAGGGCCTATAATCCCTGCAGTTAAAATAACAGCGTTAGGTAACCTAAGATCCAGACTGCCATTAGAAGCGACAAACTAGGAAATATTGGAAATAAGCTTCAGTGTACCAAGCCATCCTAGCTTTCCCCTAAAATGTACGCGGAAAACCATTGAAAATGCCAGTCAGGATAATATGCAAGGTCAGGCAAAGCTGTCCCTCTACTTAATTAATTAAGGACTATGCCATGAAGGCGTATGTGGGAATGAGCGGTCACCTTCACGCCTCAACCGTTTTATCCCCGAAGAAAGAGCCCCCGATGCCCACTTGATAGGAGGTTGTGTGGACCACAGAGCCGGTCTGGACGACGTGGAGAAGTAAAAATTATTCACCTTACCAGGACTCAAACTCCGACCCCTCGGTCAAGCCCTTAGACAGTCACTATACCGACTGCGCTATCCCAGTTCCTCAGGATAATGGACGCCCTGGTACCTGAAGGCAGTATAAGCTTTATACGTTGGTCTCCGAACGTTGCTTGGAATTTTGTTTACATTTTTTTAAACCCACTCACGACAACATACAAATGCACTGCAAATACGTGTATTTTGTAGGGGTAACGTTAAGATACAAACATAGCATTTCCCTTGTAGCTAAGCATCCTAATATGAAGGTGTATCATAGACGCTGAATAAAACACCCACATATTCTCTGACTCGGCACTAGATACGTGTATGTTCAAGCACAAGCCCATTTTATACCCAGGGGAAGAACACATTGCGCCCACTCTATTTGTCTTAGAGCTGGAATTGATGGGTTGAAATGAGAAATCCGAACACCTAAACTACAGGTTGAACGTCATCGTTAAGTTGGTAGCGCCTAGCTTTGCGTGAGGGAGACTGGCTATTCTAACTGAGAATTTGTACAGTTGTCTTCAGTTCCAGTAAAGTTCTGCGACAGTAATTTAAAATTGGCCAGTAAAGTTTCCTTTCACATTCTGCCCATCTAATATTTTGCATTTTTTCTTCCATGCTGCAAGGTTATGGATGCTGGAATTGGTAAAGGAAGAAGACAGTACTGACTTGTAAGAAATTTATCTTTTTAATCGCCCCTTTGCAAGCCTTCTGAGTCCCCTTTGGAAAGGGTCCCAGTTCCAGTGTTAACTGAATACAGATGGACAGGTCCTGGTATATAGCTAAACGCTTCAATTATTTGTAATGGAGTGTTCACATGTTTCGAGCGCTTCTTAGCTTTATCGCAGAAAGTGCAAATATTGCATAAATTGCATGCGAATTTCCTGTATTACTTGCCTTGTTCTTTCGGACCAAATTGACCAACTATTTTCTGTGTCTATTTTCAAGTTTCTTATTTACCGACTTTCTCAGTATTGATACTTATAGCGTCAGTATCTTCTGGGTTGCAACTAACAGTTTTTGTATCGCCTCTCCCAGACTGTAAAGACCCTGATACCCTCCTAGACATTATAAAGATACTTCGTGACGTTTAAGCTCTTTGGATGTATCACTAAGGCTACCTTTTCATTATTAGGTTAGTAATTTTCGCTTTTAACGTCTTTGGTTTTGCTGAAAGTAATACGTACGCGCCAACCTAGTCACAAAGACAAGATACGTAATTACTGTAAAACTGAAATGCAAACGTCACAGTACCCGAAGGTTCGTCACTTAATAGCAAACTCTGTCTGTTGATACTTGTTTTTAGAATAAGATGGTTAAGTAAGGATATATTATATAATAAATACATTTTATTTGATGAACAGAATACAAGTATGTTAAATGTTGAATGAATTATGCAATGGCAATGGATTTTAATGTTAAAGTAAACAGCAACAAATTGAATCGAAATCATTTCAGTGGTTTGGAAAGCGAAACAAGTCCACGGAGAGACATGACTTCTCCATAGTGTTTTTAATGTATGCACTTTATGTGAATCGATTATTAGCGACAGTGCATAACGTTATACACATGAGTGTAACTGAGGACTGAGTTAGGGCTTTCGATCTGAGATCGCAATAAAATCTGTACTGCAATTTTTTGCTGAATATTGCATGTAAATCATTGTTCTTAATTCTTATCTAATTATAATTTAATTCCATGATTTATTTTAACCGTCTTCCAGTGCATACACTCATCAATCTCCTCCTCTCACTGAACAATTTTAATATTTTTAACATTTAACATTTATCAATATATATTATAAATATATGTTTTAGTTATTTTAATATGAAGACAAGGCATGCAATGAACTAGTTTAGTGTAAATTGAATAAGCACCTGAAGATGGCACTTTTGTGCCGAAACATGTAGTGCGAGTGAGAGGAGGAGATAGATGAGTGTATGCACTGGAAGACGGTTAAAATAAATCATGGACTTAAATCAGTGCAACAGGACGCTAAAATATAACAATATAATTTAATTCGTTTACTTCATTTATTTACTAATTATTTCAAAATTCTTAGAAACGTAGTCCTATACCTAGTGAAGTGTAAAACAGACTACCGTGTAGTTAACAAAAAAAAGTTATATTTGAGGTTCTCACATAAGGGACTGCGGGAAGTACTAGATCAATGCTTGTGAGGACGTACTTTCTGGTAGAAATTTACCTACTTCTCTGAGCAACATTCCGGAAAAAGAAATAAAATTACCATTCTCATTAAACAACAATTTTCTATAATATTTAATGCCATATTATTGCCAATAGGAATATAATTTAATATATGACTAAATATTATACATTATTACACAGCGAAGGTGTTAGCACGTAATCTGCTTGCTGCCTACCTCTCACGCATGAAAGCGAGAAAATCGGCCGGGTTAAGGACTAATTGCTTTAGCGCATTAATATTACTCACGTGTAACTCTGAGCTGGGGCCTTGATGTGCTGTGGCAGTCTTTCGAAATAGTGCCGGAATTCTTCAAATTCTGTGTCCGCCATGTTTATTGTCAGGCTACTGCCACCAACACCATTTCGTTCGACCCGACCCACAATCCTCTGCGCGACGCAACTCGCTGTCTCCTGACGCTGCAACTGTGCGCCGTGTTCACAACATTAACTACATATATTGATTGAGTACGGTTTCTGTAACACAGTGTGGCTTACAATCCTGGTTTATCGAGCCGCCAGGCTTTTCAATGATGCTCTGGGGTTACTGTACAAATTGATGGAAACCCAGTACAATAAAATGTCCCTGTAGTGGATCAGATTTTACAAATGCCTTGCGAGGCTATTTCAGAGTGATTATCTTGCAACATATCAGCGTTCCAGCATGTTACACGTAAATAGCAATAATAAATCGTACAGCCAATTAAAAGCTATATTGTTCCTTTACCTCTCCAGCTGTGGCTATAAACATGAATATCTTCTTATACTATACACAAATATTTTGGTTAACTGGATTACAGGCTACTTATCAAGTATATTATTTTGTTTCCTTGGCACTACAGCCCCTGTGGGCCTAGGCCTACCTCCATGAACTTCTTCGTCCACTTCGGTTTTTCTAGATCTTACACGTTCGGTAGGACTCCTTGGGCGGGTGATCAGCTCGTAGTAAGGCCTCTACCTATACACAAACACAGAAAAACGCAAACACATAAACTAAACATCCATGCCCTGAGTGGGATTCGAACCCACGATCCCGGTTTCCAAGCGAGCGAAGACAGTGCATGCCTTAGACCGCTCGGCTACCGTGACCGGCCCAAGTATATTATAAGCGATATAATTTTACGTTTAGTGTCTGTAAACGTATTTAAAATTATTTATTTTTAACAGCAACTGTTTCCCATTTGACCCCAGATTAAAATAAGTGTTCATCTTTGTTCTGTTTTTATGGGGTTTCGAGTTCAGCCTTCTGTTTGCCGAAGACTCCGGTTTAGTGGGTGCCGTACCGGCTTCGTGCACCGGACATTCTGATTCAAATTTCTCTTGGATCTGGCAATTTTACCTGAGATTTGGATGACTTTCCTCAGGTTCTCAGTGTAATGCGTACAATGTATGACAAGATGGCTTTCTCACTAGCGTCTTTCCATATCATCCACAGCCAACCTCCAGTATCTAACCTATTTAAAGGAAGAAGATTCAATAGATATGACCAATCGACTAACTAGTTCAGACTAACTCCGTCCTCCGAAGGTTTTATGTAATTTTGTAATGGCATGGGCTCTTTGTTCCAGAAGCAGTGTCGTCCTTCTTTAAGTGGACTACGCTAAGAATATTTTATGAGAATTTCCAGGTTCATTTTTATTATACCATTTATAAGAACACCGGAGCATCCTGCTGGTGCCTCCTTCAGCGACTAATTGAAAATATCAACCTCATTTCTCAGGATCAATCTTGTAGAAAGGCTCATTTCGATGTTCGATATCCTCCATCGAGGTGACTCAGTGTCATCAGATTGTAAGTTGAAAGTGACCTATAGAAATTTTTATGTATTTAAGAGAACTAACGCGTAGGTTAGTGGTTTGACAAATTCTTTGAGACTTCGGGGCCTGGAAAATGGCCTGCCGCTATTTTAGCGTTTAATTAGTTAATTACCTAACCAATCAACTAACTAATTTGCCTGGAATATTATTCAGATGTACCGTATAAAACGGTTCTGTATTGGTATGAAATTTAGTCTCTGGCATTAAGGGAGGAACATAGACTGAGGGTGTTTCAGAACAGGGTGTTGAGGAGAATATTTGGACCGAAGAGAGATGAAGTGACAGGAGGTTGGAGAAAACTACATAAAGAGGAGCTATTAGAATGCTCAAGTCAGGGAGGATTAGGTGGGCAGGGCATGTAGCACGAATGGAGGAGATGAGGAATGCGTATAGGATATTGGTGGGAAATCCAGAAGGAAAGAGACCACTGGGAAGACCAAGGCGTAGGTGAGTGGACAATATTAAAATGGATCTTAGAGAGATAGGATGAGATGATATGGATTGGATTGACCTGGCTCAGGATAGGGACCAGTGGAGGGCTCTTGTGAACACGGTAATGAACCTTCGGATTCCATAAAATGCTGGGATTTTCTTGAGTAGCTGCAGCATTGGCGGCTCCTCCAGAAGGGCTAAGCACCATGAGTAAGTAAGTAAGTACCGTATAAAACTTATCTCCTCTGCACGTTACTAAGACCGGTTCTGGGGCCCACCCAACCTCCTCTGGAATTGGTAAGAGAGGCTCTTTCCTTGGAGATAAAGAGGCCGGGCCGTGAAGCTGACTACTCATCTCCAACTAATGCTGAGGTCAAGTATGTGTCTTCAAGGCGTAGTGTTTCGTCAGTTAAGCGCAGGGACAACTCTACATTTTAATTTTTGTCGTATAAAACGAACTCTATGCTGCAGAGTCCTTCTCCTCAAGTTAATCTTATCTCTGCTGCTCAAAATACTCTTCCCCTTGCATGGAACTCAAACATTCAGTATCCTGCCAACAAGAGCCCGCTACTGGATTCTGTCCTGAGTCAGATGAATCCAGTACACATTCTGATATCCTATTTGTCTTGGAGTGAAATGTTGGACTCCGGTTAACGCCAAGATCTCCCGAATAATCTCATCTCTTCACGCTTTCTGACAATATTTCTGTATGCATTTCTCACTTCTTCGTGTCTGCTACATGTCCTACACGTCTAACAACATTTGATTAAGAGTACAAATTATGAAGATCCGACCTGCAGGAAATAATTGCAAGAGAAACAGGTAACTTGATGCAGACTTGCGCGGTGGATGCATCCTAGGAAGGTGATGCAGTAGGAATTTCTTGAGAGAAGACAGGCAGAGAGAAACTGAACAGAGGTACTTCTCTGTTATCTCTGGCTCTTTTATGTTCCTTTCTATGTCCCTTTCTTCACTTGCTTGTAGCTTTAGTTCTTTGATACTTTCTGTTTTCATGTTGTTTATGCCGTTGGATGTTCCAGCCCTTAAGAAGAGGGTCTGACGTATTGCAGAATAACAATCTCTTCACCAGCGCCCTCCATCTGTCGGATTCACATGCAAATGGTAATCATAACTTGCCTCTTACAACCTGATTTTTCCGTATTTTTTGTGACTTTACTGTATGTGAAATCTTTAATGATTTCCACACAGTTTAACTTTATTTATTGTGGCCCGTCACACTAGTCAGTACTATAGAATGATTTGACTACACCGTCCAGTGTGACTCAAATGTATGTATGTATGTATGTATGTATGTATGTATATATATATGTATATTTTTTTATTGCTAGTGGGGTGGGACTAAGTCCCTTGTACTGCTGCCAATTCTGGCCTATTGTACCAGCCCCAGATGATAGGTGAGGGTGATTGTGGAGCAATTGATGGAATGAAGATTGGCAAGGGAAACCGAAGTCCTCGGAGAAAAACTGCCCCAGCTCCACTTTGTCCACCACAAATNTAAAGATTTTAAATTAAGCTAAAATTTGATGAGTTAAAATATCAATACAATTCTTAATATTTAAAATCTTAAATCGCCAAGTTTCGTGTCTTCGTGCCCCTTCTATCAACGGGAGATTGGTTAGATTGCCGCCCTTGGAGGTCCGGTTAAGAGTCTGTGTTTGTTGTTAAGCTGATTCTCCTTTCGTTGTCTGTTGAGGCACAGCATCGTACAATATGGATACGAGCAGTTAGCACAGCGATACGCGTCTGACTTTCAGTCGTGTGAATTAATATTAAATCCCTACAGCGGTCCGATTGTCTTAGCTGATGGCTTGCAATTTTCTACAGGTGCTAGAGCTGCATGCCAAATTCACTTTAGTAGGTTATCTGCTCCGTCATATGTCCCTAGGTCATTTGACCCTACTTGCGTATTAACGTACATATTCGCAAAATCATTATCAGAACCTTTGATCTGGGATTCTCACAGTTATGACTATGATGAGTAGTCTCTTTTGAGATGTAATCCCGTTTAGTCTGGTAGACAATATAATGTTACGTTCCAGAACAGTACAGCTACTTCTTGATTACTGCGCGTTCGAATAACGCGGTATTCGATTTAAGGCGAACCGTACATCGATACCAGGTCGAGTTTAATGCGAACCAATATTCAGTCAATGGGAGGATAGCGCATGCGCGGTTGAGGTTACCGTTAGAGCTTTACATGCTGCTACTTCAGTCTGCAAATGTTTGTCTTCGGGTGCGCATGTGCTGCTGCATGACGTAATACACTTTCCGTGATTTGTTTTAATCGTTTAAAGAAGCGCCCTTAACAAAATGAACAAAAGGAAGATCCCTGCAGATAAAAACACCACGAGAGTAGAAAAGAAGAGGCTCTTTATTGCATTAGAGCAAAAATGTGATTTGACATGAGCGTGGTCGTAGCAACTCTGAAATAGGACGAGATGTCGGAATGCCTGAATCAACTGTACGGAATATTATAAAACATGCAGGGGAAATAAGAGAAAAATGCAAATTTGATTCAGCTTTTTGTGGTTTGCGAACATCTACAAGGAATACAAATGTTAAAGTGATAGGAATACAGCGTCTTTTAACTGTATGGATTGAGGACTGCAATCAAAAACGCATTCGCTTAGCAGAACAATAATTCAGACAAAAAGTTTTAAATTTGTTTCGGAGAGTGCAAGAAAAAATAATGAAGTAGAAAAAACTTTTGACGTAATTATTAGTTGGCTTAATGGATTTAAAAATCGAGTTCAGCTGCATAAAATTAAAATTACCCTTGAGGCGGACAGTGCAGTTGAGTACGCAGCATCTAAATATCCTGATATTAAAACAAATAATCGAAGATGATGGACACATTGATCAACAAATATTTAACGTGAATTAAACCGGTTTATTCTAGAAATTTATGCCTTACAGGTCTTATATTTCTAGGAAAGAAACTGGATTTAAAGTGTCTAAAAATCGCCTAATACTTTATTGGGAGGCAATGCTCAAGGCGATTTTGAATTGAAACGCATTCTTCTTTATCCAAATTTATCCAAATCCTCGCGCTCTGAAAAGCTACAATCATAGATTTTCTCTCTATAACTATTCTGCTAATCTGTTAACAATAAATTTAAATTAAAAGTATATATTTTCTTTCCTTTATTGTAATATTTCATTAATAAACATATAAAAGCTTGAAGAATGCCGTCTTCTGGGATGTGGTGCAGTGTAGATATTGTGTAGACCGGCGTTCCTCCGAAACGTCGCTTTACACAATATCTACACGACGCCACATCCCAGAAGACGGCATTCTTCATAGTCACCGCCGTGATAACCTCAGAGCTTACATACAAAACCTTATGTTTAAAAATTTTCATTGCCTATTTTCGTCGAGTTTGAACCAATTAAAGTGTTTTTCATATAATTTTAACATAGAATAACGCGACCATTATCCTTACTGGTCGAGACCGAGCTCTGGTCGTCAAGATTAACTGGCACTACTCTTTATTATACAGGGATCAGTTCTCATGATTCTGACTCATATGAAAGCGTGGGTCCCGGCATCAATTCATAAAAATTCAAAATTTTGTCTTTACTTCTTTGTTTCATTATTCTTCGATCTTCACACTG